AATCTGTAATAGGGCTGGAATAACACTCTTGCTGGGCTACGATTCAGCCCTAATTCTAATGATTTTCTGATATGTTCCACAATCTTGCAATTAATCCATCACCGTCACAAGTATCAGGAATATAACATACTCCTAAAATAAGCAAATTAAACTTCTAAGACAAACTAATCTTCTTACAGCAGGTAATTTCAGGAAGATAATTCATGCACACATCATAATTTACTACTGGAGATCAGTACTACATCATCTAAACATAGTAACAAATACAATAAAATAAAACAGCTTTTTCTGGTCTCTATAATGTCTGCAGTCCATCTCTGGATTTCCATCCACTGCAACATCAGTGTGAAAGGATACACATAAGTTTAGCCAAGTTTTGTATTCCTGCTTCACAATACAGAGAACTATTCAATTATTGTGTTTCATAAGTTGAAAACTCCACCAGTCTTGCCAAAATAAGTGGAAATGGAAATAGCCATGTAGTTTTTGTGCATGGTACTTAAGAGCGTTGTACACTGGTGCCCTCTACACACACTCATGAGAACTACAGGACTTTGGTTTGGTTTCAAATAAACTTGAAAATGGAACGTGATAGATTAAAATAAATAAATAAATAAGCAGTATGACAAGAGTTATAGTTTATTAAATTTTAAAACAGCAGAAAATGCTATTTTCCCTGAGTAGAAGAGTCATTGTTTCAGTATTATCACCAACAATTTACAACTGTTTCTACAAAATGCCCTGTTTTCCCTAAAAAGGAGTGTCCTCTTTTCTAATAATATCTTATACCTGTTAATTGAAGTTATTTTATTTAGAGTTTGACAAATTCAGGAATCTACTTTTTAAAAAAAAATTAGGCAAACCACATTTTTTAAGCTTTGGGCCTGCACAGGTAGCAAGAGCACAGTGCAGTGGTCCTGCCTTGGCAAGCAAACCCTCCAGAGGAGAAAATGCCATTTATCATCTGACTGTAGAACACCAGGGAAGCAAAGAGGACGCGAGAGGTTGAGGGTGAGACTGTAACCATTTGGGAGAGCAGGAGATGAGAATGTAGAAATAAAAAGTGACTTACAATTGAGCGAATGCACGTGGACTTGACTTTAAGCTGCCTTGCAGTCAGTTGTGGCTGTGACTTACTGGTGAGAACTCAGGTGATAAGGACCTAGCAGTAACAAACACCAGGTGTCAGATATTAAAACAACAACAACAAAAAGCATGTTTCTAACAAGACCTAACAGCTACTGAGAGATCCAAGCCACGTTAAAAAAAGAACTCCAACTATCCATTTTACCAGCAAGTCCCCTCTATACTCCATATGCTTCATGCTATAGAACAGACCCAAATCCATCGTTTAGCCTTCTCATCATCTTGTCTGACAGCGGGATTACAGCACACATAATGGTAAGATGCACTCACTGCTGTATTCTTACACCTTTTAAAGTGTTGTTTGTTGCTGGAAAACTGTGCAGAGGCATAAGTGTGATATGAGGAGCCTAAATGGAGCCCCACTGTTTCTTTGTGTGCTCTCCCAGCTAACTGCACTGCTGACAGACAGCACTATTAAGCAGTCATTAGCACCATGTCTGAAAGCTGGGCTTCTGCTGATAATAACAGACTATTCAATATTTTGAGCCTTTGTAAGAAAGAGGGCACCTAAATGAGAATAATGAGGTCATTCTATGACATGCCTGAGGATATAAAACCATGGGTAACTTTTTAGCTTGTTTGATATGTGAGCACATTACACTCAACTGTGACAGATTATTTCTAGCCTTCAAAAAAAAAAGCTTCTTCCATTAAATCACACCACACAACACCAGCACCAAGGGGTAATCAAAACACTGGTGTCACTATAAAGCACAACCTTCAAAATAATTCTGTGTAACCCAATCAAAAAGAAAACATACATGGACATATGTGAAGTAGAGCAAGGGATGGAGAGAGTGTCAGAAAACCACCCCATTTTAACAGTTAGCAAAGTTTAAAAGGATTTTATGATAAAACAATTACTTCCAATGCCGCGTAATGTTTTCTTTTGCCAAATGAGATGCGTGGACTATTTTGGTTTTGATGAACAAACTGAAATTTAAATTTTAGATCTGCTTCTTGCTTAGAGCAGTTGCTGTTTCTCTTAAAACTGGCTCGCTTTCCTTTGCAAACGGGCCCAACACTTTACAGAAGGTTTTGCACCACGAGACTATTTCAAGATTCTTCGTGCAGTCGAGGAGTCTGGGTTTTGAGTGGGGCTGTGCTGCGTATCTGCTGTACATGACAGTCTCTCTGGTTGTTCTGCTTCCTAGTGTATCAGCCCAGGAGTGAATGCTACAACATACCTAGGTCTATGGATTAACATGGTTTAGTTTGTTGCTCAGCTTAGTGGTTTAACGCTCTCAAACTTTACAACAGCAGTAGGGAAACTCTCCCTTTTTCCTGATTGCTCTCCAATTTTGCTTCCTATGTTCCTGCCTACAGAAGTGGTGCTCAGGGAATTTTCCTGGGCGTGTGAGTGTCACACAATTTTCAGTTTTTGCTGAACCAAAGAAGTGTGCTGGCCCTAAGGTCTTTTTCTTCCTTTGGGAAAGCTCGGTGACCTTTGGTAGATGTGTGTGTACGTAGTTTAGCTTCATTTTTATTCTATTTTCATTTTGTATTGTTTTTAGTGGTGTCATTAAGTGTGTAGTTAAGGGAGAGCTGCATAATGCAATTTACTTCTTCGTATTTAGCTTCAGCTTCTGTACGTCTGTTTAATGGTGGAGTCTAAATGCACAAGCACAGCTGCTGAGAACTCAGAGCTGAGCTTTGTGAGCTCCCTCCTGCCCTGGGCACCCACAGCAGGTACAGCTGGTTGAGTATCAGGGACTGTGAGACGTGCTCAAGATGTTGCCTACACCAGGGAGGACCTTTCCCTTAACTGGCTCCTGCAGCATCACCTTCACCCACCTTGAGCCGGGAAAGAGGGGAAGGGCACAGTCCTCTCCTTGGGAACCACTGAGGACTGATAAAGGCTTAAAGGAAAAGAGTGGTTGTGGGAGCAAAAGCACCTTGCTCTCAGAGGGCTCTGCTTACTGGCAGGCAGTTTCTCTTTGTACCCAACACAGGAGTTACCCTGGAGGGAAACAGACTGGCAAGTTTGCTTCTGTTCCAGTTTCTCTCCTTTTAATTTACATTTTCTTGGTCTTCTATTGTTTTTTACAAGGGATAAAGTCAGCAGTTCCATTTAGACTAGAAGGAAAGGTTTAATTCAAGTTATTCAGGGACATTACAAGCTGTGTGTGTTAATTTTTTTTTTACTTCATCTAGCCCTCAAGCTTATTAAAGTTTTATTTTTAATTAAAAAAAATTAATGAGTGATTGCCCTTTTTTTAGTGGCTACTTTTAAGATTAAGCCTCTTCAACATTATAATTGGAGTAATATGCACATGCCCTACCTGAAAGGCAATTACAAATACACACAATAGCATGTACTGTTTGTTTCATAATCTTAATGTTTCATTAGATGTTTGCTGGTTATGAATTATCTATCAGCACAAACAGAACAGTTAATTCTAATTACCACTATTCTTGAATCACTAACAGTCCACCCTGAATTTGAATAAAACACTATCCTGGAAGAATGGGAAAGTAGGAAAAGGGACTGTTTCCTGGTATCTTTTTGGTACATCAAATAAAGCCTGTTTAAATAGATTATAGATTTTAAATGCAGCGGTTATTTATTAGCAGAAAGGCTAGAAAAGGAAAAAGGGTTTCTCAGTGTTCTCTCAACCAAGGAATATACACAATGGCTGGGACGGCATCTCCCTTCGCATCGGCCTGGCTCAGCCCCTCTGGACTTCCCAGGCAGCAGAAGCAGGCTGTGAGAACTGTACCTGGGGTATTTTAATACATCTTTATCATAATCATGATTTATACCTTGGGCAGTCTTATTTTCAAAGCTGGGAAAGTAGTTTTGCTGCTCATTGAATTAATTGCATAAGCCATGACTTTTAAATATAATGTGTATTCATTAAAGACACTAAAATCTGTGAAGTTCTATTAAAAGCTAACAAATAATACAGACAGTGTAATTGCAGGAGGCAAGTCTGGTTTTCCAACATCAAGAGCTGGCTTAAGCTTTGTTTGTATTTTAGACATATTTCTTCATTATGCACTGGATTAATCTGCCAGCCTGTTTGGCTAGAAGGCTTAAAAGATGACTGGCTGGGAGAGATGTCCTGCTACTTTAACTCTGTGCCTTTAGCTTTCTACAACATCACATTATATTTATTGTGTGTTTTTAGAGCCCAAGCTATCAAAATTAAGTAATATGGGAACTTCAGGTCGTAATAATTTAGGTCTCAAACTTAGATCAAAAATCCTCAAGTTTATAGAGAAAAATTCCAAAAAATATATTGAAAGACTGAGGCTAAAAACCAAATAAAAAGATGACGTTGTATTGTTTTTCATCTCACAATCTTTGGGTCAAATGCAGGATTTTTTAAAACAATTTCAGTTTGTAATACTGAGAATAATGAGAAAGTGGTTATTTTGTCAGAACCTAATCAGCAGAATCTGAAAAACTAAGTTTAAACTCTTTCATTGAAAGTTTTTATTTGGCAGAACAAAGTAATTGTTTATCTCAAGTACAAAAATGCTGCTGGGAAGAAAATCAAGCTGGTTTGGAATCTGCAAACTTTGGAATCCTTCTCTTCTGGATTCCACTGTATCTGAATCATCTCACTTTTTAAATGGCTACATAATTCGGATTACAACATTTCTGAACTTTTGTAATGGGCAACAGTTCTCATGCAAAAAATCCCAATGCCAACTTGCGACTGTGTTATGACACTGCTGTCTGTAAAAGGGACTTGGGAAAAGGAAGATAATCTGACAATCGTGAGTTTTAAGTCATAACTTTTCCCCTTGATTTTAATAAAACATATATTTGCCTTTATGAAAGAAGGATTTTTTTTTTCAGAGGAATTAAGTATTCGATAATAATTGTGTTTTTTTCTCCTCTCTAGTGTTCATAATGGCTTCTGGGCTTTTGGTTTACCCTTTTGGTTTCAACTCTGCTACTGTGAAGAGATTCTGTGAGAATTCAGACATCTACTATGCAGGAGACTGCCAGATTGGCTGGGGGTATATGCTGGCAATTGTTGGGGTCATGTTGTCTGTCTTTTTACCATTCTTTGCAAAATATGCACCAAAAGAGCACATATCTCCAACTCCAATACCTACTATTTTATAGTATTTTATTACTGTTCAAGAACAAAACATTCCTGTCTACAGGCAATGGGCAGAAACTGTTATAGCACTTCCATTTAGCTGTATTGCTAAAGAGAAAAAAAAAGGAGATGGGGAAGAGAAGGTCAGATTCACAAAGACCAAAAGTGCATTGATAGTCTTCCGTAGGTATGAGCAGCGAACACTCTGGAATTGAAATAAGATTAATTAATAAGAGCTTTTATACTGCTCTAAATATATAATGGCATAATGCCTTAGACAAAAAAAATAATCTGTTTATCCTCAAAACATCTGTCTACCTCCCAGTTTCTTTTGTGTCTCAAAATCGTAAGTCTTTTAAAAGTTTCAATTCACTTTTTGTATATTATTAGATGTCAAAACTTTTATGAACCCAATAATTTTAAAATCAATAATGATATTTTATTACAATTATTTTGATTAGTGAAAAAAGCGCCTACTAGTAGCCACAGCCTAAAATTCAGCTTGGTATCTAAAAAAGAATTGTATACAAGAGAAAAGGTTCTTTCTAATCTACATGTATTAGTAGTACCTGCAGATGGTAAACTGTCAGCACAGTTTTTAATACTGATCTCATCTTCAAGATTTACAGTCATCTTCATAAAGTCTTGCATAAGATTGAGATGACTTTTTTTCCTGAGAGAGAAAGATCTAACCACTTCCAAAGGCTTCCTGATGATTCAGTAGTTTAACAACAAGGGAAAAAAAAAACCGCTAAGAATTTGGTTTTAGTATTTCTTAAATTATAATTTTAGGTGGACTTTTACAAAATTATTTGAACTATTACAACTGTAGAGTTTTGTTGTTTGCTTTTTAAGACTGGTAAGAAAAAAATCTGTTTACAAAAACGCAGGTGCCTGATGGCCCTTGTATGCAATGATAACACAAGCCAGGATGAGCTAGATTCTAATATTTCCATTTCTATTAAGAGCCCATTATTGTAAAGAAAAAATATACGTGAAAGGCTACGGGACACGACTGATAAGTGTCTGATGCTGTGTCAGAACTAGCAAATGGCCATATTTCATGGGTTTGTATGTGAAATTTGTGAAGTCTGATTTCCACAGTAGCACTGAATTCATCACTATCAAGCACTGAAATAAGTGCACTTGATTGCCTTAAGCAAAAGAAACATTGGGTTCTGGTCTCACCCCACCGTTATGTTTTTCATTTAAAATGAAAATTGAATTCTAATTCTATTCTCATCTTTTATTTTCTATTATTTATTAAAAAAAGAAATAACCACATAGATTATATTTAATTCAGAGCTATACTTCTTAGTTTTGTATTTTGGATCAAACCAAGTGATCAAATTTATTATTCTTCACTTAGCTGAGTCCAACTGATTCCTGATTTATTTTTTTTTTTAATGGAAAGTGTACATGAAAGGGCAGACAGAGACATGTTGAGGATGTATAAGAAAATGCAAACAAATAGAACAATCACTGTGTTATTTTAATAAATGTCAAAGACTCCTGCAGTCTTGTTTACATTCCTCACCCTAAACTTCAATAGAACGTTGCGTTGTTTTCCAAAATAACTGTTGTTACATTTTCATGCACTCTAAAAGCAAATTCTGCACATAAACTTGGCAAGTTCCATTAGTAATCTTTGAAAATACAGATTTCAATGTAGAATTAAATACAGAGAGAGAGAGTGTGCGCTATGCGTTTTTGCTCACAGTGACTGAGGAATTACATCTTCTAAGTATTTAATAAAATAGGTTGAAGGAACGCCTCTAAAGTAAGAATGAATTTCAGTCACTTCTGTATAGTAATGTATGTTTCAGTAATGTCTTACACGTTTTTTAATGAATGGCTGAAATTGATAATTTTCATGTAAGAGTCAGAGAAGTGAGGAATAACAAACAACATATAAAAAGAAAATCATCACCACAATGTAGAGAGACAGAGATGCAGGCTTTTCTTTCCTAACCAACCTGTGCCTTGACACTAGAACCATTATACAAGACAGGATCAATATGGTTTAAAAAAAAAACCAACCAACCAACAACTGAAAAATGTTGAGTGATGTGTATAAACTGTATGACGTAGGGTTTTTTCTGTTTGGTGTAATGTTTACGACTGTTCACTTAATGTTTCACTAGAAAAAGTGATTTGTTAGTGCAAAGTAGAAAACCTTTTTTTGCAAAGATCTAAACACTTACTGAAAGTAAAATTATTTTAGAGCTTTATTAACAGCCATAACATACCTAGCAGATGCAAATGACCTATTCCTGTCACTACTCATTCACGTAACTTCCACGTGTGCAGAACTGGAACCATCAATCATTCAACTGAAATCAGCAGGACTACAACGTTTGTGTGATGTTGATGACACACAGGCGCTTGCAGGTCTGGTCCCACCGTTCAGCCTTCCCTTGTAGTTTTAACTTACTGTTACAATGGACTCTTACAATATACAACACTGCTGTACCACATCCTTCCTAAAATTCAACTTCTGTTGTGAACATCATCAAGCTCTATATCCTGTCATATTCTGCACCTTTTATGAGTTAAGCTAATGCTTCCATTTGGAACTTTCTTTAATATTTTATAATACATAAAGGAAATAAAATATATGTATGACCTCTACAACTGGATAGATGAAACTCTCCTTCAAACATCCATGCTCAGAACCAGCTTAGCACAGAAGGTAGAGATGATAAGGCAAGGGATTCTTACAACAGTTAGTAAAGCATATATACTTTAGGTTCCTCAACTGGAACATTAAGGGGGGTGTTGCTAACAATACATGTGCTAACACTGACAGATCACTTTTTTAAATAAAGACTGTCTGCGCGTTAAACTGTGTAAAAGCATTTTCCTGTTACAAGTCAAACGATTTACTGGACCAGGTTCAAGTTTTATTCTAAATATATAATTTTTTAAGTGTAACTAAAAGCTGTATTTTCCATTAATGTGTTTCTGCGTTGACTAGCTGGCTCCTTTTTAGAATATTAACTGTTTTCTGTATTTGACTTGTTGGATACAATATTTCAATTATTTTAAATGTGAAATTTCCAATTGCCAACACTGTATAATAAAATTAAAAAAAAAACCCAAACCCTCCACACTGTTCACTATTTTCTTGACAACACTTTTGTTTTAAAATTCCCAACAGATCTGGTACAAAACTTTTGAAGTATGGGAACTAGCTAAGGGGAAAAGGAAATAGAAGCAACAGGAATAATCTATGCAAGTTTGAAGGCAAAGACACATAAACATGTCCATGGTCCATCCCTCGTAAAAGATGTTTCTATGGCAAAGGCAAGGAAGTTCTGTGTCCAAATAATTACTTCTCTCCAACTTCCTCTGTGTCCTTGAGCAATCTTCCTATGGCTTCAGGGTCTGTTGCTATTTTATACAGGTGTTATTCTGATTATTTATTTTTTAAAAAACCATGAATCAGATAACATATCAATGGGAACCATATGAACACCCAATATACACAGCTGCATCCTGTGAAATCTCTCTGTAGTATCTATTATGTTCATTTCTAGAAAAGCTTTTACACGTGTTCTTGTAACCCAGCAAAGGAAAGGGAACCTGTTCATTGGAAATGGAACAAAAACTACCTCCTTACTTTCTACCAAAGAGCAGTTTTAATGCAATATGCAGAGCTAAAGTGAACTTTGGTGACATTTGTTAGCTATTTAACTTTGACCAAATACTCCTCAAAAGAATTATATAGTCAACATTTTGAAATAGGTTTGAAGGAATTTCTAAAAATTGAAAATAATGAAAAGCAATGGCAACCTGAATTACTAGTGATGATCTTTTTCTAAGAAACTTGCACTACTGCAAAACTTTAAACATTTTAATTCAGAATTTCTCCAGTAAAATCTAATCTACTGTGTAACAGAACCCTGTTGTTATGTATTTAACTGGGAAATGTAAGCTCTGAAAAGTAACAGTGGAAACAAAACATTGTTACCAACATTTGTTGGACAACAGCATAGTGATATTTTCAATTATTTAATCAGAGTTTCAGTATTAGTTTTGGTAAATGCTTTAGGATGTCCATCCTTTCCAGGTAATTAGTGAAAATCGGTTTCGGACAACCATTTAGACTTTTAAATTTCATTCATTTTTTTTACATATGCTGTCATCTCAACATCTGCAATTTTAACAAATTCTTGGAAAGTGTTTTGTTCTTGAGTAGTTGCTGGTCTTACAGAGACACACTTGAGAATGTTCCTTTTTGCGTCATAGTTTCCCATGCACCTATGCACTCGACCTCTAATTAGTCTTGGAAGCTCCCGGTCCTTCATCAAAAGCATAATAAACAAATAAAAAATTACACACCTTTCTAACATAGAGCCATTCAAAATGTCCAGTTATCAGATATTAGTGGATTTCTGAAGACTACCCCAAAATGCAGAAGGAATTTACATCAGCTTTTTTGCTATTATCAACTACTTAGAAGCTGAACTGAAAGTCCCACCTTTTTTTTTGCTGAAAGAGAAGCCTGAGGATGCCTAAATAGTGACTGGGTTATTGCTCTAGACCAGTGTGGGGACAACATGGTATAAGCATCCAGTTTTCCTTTTACAAAGTAATTGTTTGCTTTACCAGAACAACGTAATATTAACTTCATAAAATGGATTATAGCTAGTGGTGTCTGTGTTAGGTATGGACACAGGAATACTTACAATTTCGTAAAATACACATGGCAGACTCTCCTTTCCATCTCTCAGAAGAAAATTCTTTGCCCCATAAGCTCCAGGTGTGACTGCAGAATCAAGTGTGCCTGAAACATTTAGCAAAAAGAAATAAGGATGTAAACTTCAGAGCAGTACTAAGGGTGATGTGCAAAGACACCACGACAATAATTACTACACAAAAGCACTAAGACATGTCGTCAGCATCAGCGTTCTCTGAGAACTTGTGCTGTCAGCAGTGGAAGTCCCAACACAAATTATGGGCTTTACATAGTCTTTGAATAGTAAAACTGTGTATGAAGTCTCTCTAAACTGAGTGACCA